CCCTCTCTCTCCTTCCCTCCCTCTCTCTCTCTCTCCCTGTCTCCCTGTCTGTCTGTCTGTCTGTCTGTCTGTCTGTCTCTCTCTCTCTATCTATCTATCTATCTATCTATCTATCTATCTATCTATCTATCTTTCTCTCTCCCCCCTTCCATTTTCTGGCACTCACTGAGACCTGGCTCTGTCCAGAAGACATCCCTGGCTGGAAAAGGAAATAGCAAACATTCCAGTACCTTTGACAAGAAAATCCCAAATTGGATCGTGAAGAGTTGGACGTGACTAAACAACAACAAATTGGGGAGTCTTAATTGTTATCATGAAGTGTTACCTATCTTTCTATGAGGAGTCAGTTTGAAGAGAATGTTGAGAATAATAACCTAACAGAATCTGAAGAGATTGTTTTCCTGTCATGGTTAGAAAGAAGATGAGAAAGACAGAAATTCTCTCTTGATCTCTTAACCTTTATTTTGTGGAACAGGTGAAAAGAATTCTTGAGAGGAGACTTTGCTTGGTATCTTGAATAAAATGAATGATGGAACTATGTTTCCAGAAGTAAGGAAAAATGCTTAGCGTCACTGTGATGATTTGAGGTGATTCTGGCTATGTTCTTGCTGTCCACTAAACTATTATAATTTTCACATCTTTGTGTTGTTATAAATTATATTGTTAATAAATTATGTAGCCAGTATTTTTAATACTGAGCTAGTCCTAGAAAATAAGAGATTTTGATGTAAGAAGTAAGAACACCTTCTTCTTTAAAAACTGGTGTGCGATTCTGAACTAATTGACTAATTAGTGAGAGATGTTTCAACTTGCTAATTAATGAGGAAAGATTCAAAATGGGATTGTCCTAGAATTTGAGATGAGAAAAACGAACATGGCAACAAATCAAGTAGCAGACCATGACGGGACCAGCAAGTGAGGTTTGTTCACGCTTGCTATACTAGGTATTCATTAGGTGCTAAATTTTTGTAACTTGTAGTGATGGTTGTATTTTCTACCATTTCTTTGTGTACTATGTATCAATCAATAGTCTAGGCTAACAATCATAACAATAATAGTTGCTGTTATTCCACAGTTCAATATAGTAAGGATTTTGTTAAGAAGTAAGGTATATTTAATATCAAAAGTTTGATTTGTTTAAAAGAATATTGAGGTTTCCTCCAAGAAAGTATAGAGCAAGCATAATCCAAACCATGATCTCTGCTGGCAATCTGTCCTCCACCCCTGCCTCCCAAAGCTTCATTCCTTACCCATCTTCCCATGCCCAATGACCAAGATGAATTAGAGGAACAGATAAAACACAGCCCCTGAAGTCAGAGGGCCAAAGTACAATACCCACCTCTGATGCTTACTACTTGTGAGACCTTAGGCAAGTCACTTAACTTTGTGGGCCTCAGTTGGGTGAGATGGTGGACCAGATGACTCTAAGGTCCCTTCCAGCTGTAATTCTATAATCCCATGATTCCACATGGGTTCTAATTTCACTTCTGAATTGAATAGTTGCATCAAGAGGTTCTTTCTTCTCCTCTGTGTCTTTTCCAGACAGGCTTTCAAAGGACAGCTCATTTTTCCCCCTTAAAATGTTCTAAGTTCTCCATGGCTGCATTAGGGATAAAAGTTTACAAAACACCATGTACCACCACAGCTAAACCTCCAGTAACTCCAGTAACTCCAAGTTAATTCATTCTCCACTCCATCCCACAGTCAGTGAAAAAAACAGTGGTCCCTGCTAATTAAATCCAATATCCCATCTCAGGGTCTCACCCAGATTACATTATTGCATTACATAACCTTACACTTGACTCTCCTCCCTCCATGAAGGGTGTGCCCAAATGAAGTTGTCAGGTAGGTTTTTGCCTGGGATGCCAGTCTGCACCAGGACACCACCCCAAATACGTCATAGCATTCAAAATATATTTATGAAGACTTTACTACATCAGACACTGCCCATGTGCTAGGGATACAAAGACTAAAAGGAACTGATCCCTGCTTTCAGGGAAGTTACACTGTATCAGAGGATACAAGGAGGCATGTAAGTATCTAGAAAATGTGCACAAAAAGCCTCCACGAGACAATGGGAGAAGGAGGGTTCTCTCCCTGGGCACAGGGGTTCTCAACTTGGGGACAACAAGCTTCTTTTCCTTTTTTAATATGTTGATAACAATATTTCAATATAATTGCTCCCCTTTGTACTTTTATACATTTCCATATTTTTATGAAATTTTATGCATTTCTTAATTCCCATGTCTTCTCTCTACTAATTGTTTCCTATTTATCTTCTATATAGCTTGCTTTGTATATATCTATTTGCTTGTTGTCTCCCTTGTTACATTATAACCTCCTTGAGGGCAGGGACTGTCTTTTGCCTCTTTTTGTATCCTCAGAACTTAGCACAGTGCCTGACACATGGTAGGTGCTTAATAAATGTTTATTGATTGATGGATTATACTTCATGCATTTAAAAGCATGATTGTGAGGAGTCCATAGGCTTTGCCAGACTGCCAGAGGGAATCATGACACATGCAAAAAGTGCTTGTGCTGGAGAATCACATGGGAGGTGATGCTTCACCTGAACTTTGAAGGAAACCAAGGCTTCTTAGAGGCAGAGATCCTAGAAAGGATCATAGGTTGAGAATTAGAGGGGATTTTTCATTGGAGATCAGAAAGACTTCCTGAAATTTGGAGCAATCAAGGTTTTCAAATAGAGGCTGGATAACCACTTGTCAGGGGTGTTACAGTGGAAATCCTTTTGGAATATGGATTATATCCCACCAAGGACTTTCCAACTCTCTTATTATGATTACATGAACTCTGTAATTTTACAAATGGAAGGTACTAGTATCTCTCTGAAGGTTTAAGGTTTGGATCTGACCTAGGTTAAAGTTGACAAGTCTCTCTCTTCATTGCTCTCCCTTCCTCCCTCTCCCTTCCTCTATCCACTCCCTCTCACCCTCCTTCCTTCTCCCTCCCTTCTATATCTCTCTCTGCCCCCCTCTTCTCTCTCCTCCTTCTCCCTGACTTTGTGCTGCCTTATTTGCCTATGCAGCTGTGACTGAGGCCTGGGTTCAAATGTTGCATCTGACATCACTATGACAAGTTACTTAACCTTTCACTTCTAAGTGACTTTCCCACAATCATACAGCTAGCAAAAGGCAGACCTGGTCACAAGCCCAGGGTTTTCTATCTCCATTGCTCTTCCCACTGTGCCATGTAATCAGATCTCTCTCCCTCTCCCTCCTCCCTTCTTCCTCTTCTCTCTCTCTCTCACTGAAGGTCTTCTGTCCCTTATGTACACTCTCTTTAAGCTCCTTGAAGGGGAAAAAATATTCAATTTTGTCTTTCTATTCCTAGAACAGGGCTTTGCACATAGTAGGTGGATAATAAATGCTTATTGTCCTTGAAACAGTCTAGGTCTCAGTCCCACTGCACAGGCACAAGGGAGCTTTATGGTAAAATAATGAACCTTATATTGGAGACTCTCCCATAACTATGGCAGGATGAAAGGGGAGAAAATGTATTTTAATCTACAAGACAGTCTTTGCCTAGAGAGGGTTGGGGCTGAGAAAATTTTGGAATGGTGAATTCTATAGTACATGTGTATAATGCTTCTTGATTTTTACTAATTCAATGAAATGACTGCTTAACTATGTACTTAACATCAAAGTGAATATTAATAGCCTGAATCCCTGGATGCACCAGTTTGAGATGCAAAGGATGGAGACATGTTTCAATGCTTGATAGGTGAGAGTTGACTGGTAATTCCTGGTCAGAGCCCAGGAGGTAAGAGCAGGGCAGAGTGCTGTGCAATTGATAGCCTGCTCATAGTATGTATCCCTTTTGTCAACTTGGGAGGCTAGGTGGAATTGTGGATAGAGTGCTGGGCCTGGAGTCAAGAAGACCTGAGTTCAAATCTGGCTTCAAATACTCACTAGTTGTGTGACCCTTGACAACTCACCTAACCTCTGTTTGCCTTAATTCACTGGAGAAGAAAATGGAAAATCACTCCAGTATCTGTGCCAAGAAAACCCCATACAGATGCATGAAGAGTTAGACACAACTGAACAACAACAGTATTTACAGTAATGACATAATTTTGCACAAAGAACTAAATATCTCTTATACACCCACCCATCCATTCATTCATACCCATGGCTTCACAGAGATTGTTAGATGGTGAATATTAGTTCTCACACCCAGGTAACAATATGCACTGAGATCTACCCAGACATGCACTTGGCTCAGGGCTAATGATCGCTCTGATTATGATACTTAGATAGAAATGCGGATGTGAGTTGGGTGCCTCTCCAATACCTTTCTCATCAGACTCTGGACAATTTTTAATGATCTGTGGAATTGTGTTTTGAAATACTCATAACTCAAGGAGGCAGGGAAGTGCCGGGTTGGAGGTGGAGGGAATTTGGAGTCAGCATGTCTGGATTCTCATCCTAGCTCTTTCACAACAAACTGTGTGAGCTAAGAGGAGATACAACATCTCTGTATCTTCATCTCCAAAGTGAGAGGTGCCTCCCAGTTCTCCCTTTCTGTGGGTCTGAACAGCGATCACTCCACCTATTTCCTATGAGACACTGCCAACTTTAATTTGGCCTTAGAATGATAGAACCCTGGATTTAGAGCTAGAAGGGACCTGGGAGGCCACTGAGACCAATGCTCTCATTTCACAGTTGAGGAGACTGAGGCATGGGGAGGTTGAGTGACTTGGCCACAGTCACACAGGTAATAAGAAGCACAGTTAGAATTTGAATCCAAGTCCTCTGAATCTCATTCAATGTCTTTATCAACTATACTCTGCAACCTGGTCAAGCTATGCATACGTTCTTGGGTACATGTGTATGTGAGTGTGTCTCTGTGTATGTTGTGTAATCCATTAAATACATATTTTATATAAAACATAAGTATAAAATATATCACATACTCATATATAATGATGTATTAAATGTACAAATATGAATTTATATATGTATATATTTAATCAAGTCCTTTCATGCTGGAATATATGCCCACCCATCTTCTTGTAATAATCCTAACATTATGACAAACTCACTCAGTTCATATTCATAGACCACTGGGGACAGCATCTTTAATATTTTTTTTTAGAAAATTCCCCATGAACCTTTGTGCTAATGCTTTAGGTTTGAGAAACAGCAGCAAAACTTCAGCACCTGGGACAGTTCTGGTCTGGAAAGCATCCTCCTCAGAGCAATTCCAGAAGATAAAAATTCCCAAGTTCCACCTGGTCAAGTCACCCGTGTCTGTTGTCAGCCTTCCCCCCATCATTAGAAACTGCTCAAATAGGTGGCTGCTCCCTTGGGGAATGGGAAGGAAAATGGCTGGATGGGGAGTTCAGAAGTTGAGATACTAAAAGCCTCAGTCACCCAGGACTTCTATCTCAATGACATATACGGTTGACATATATGTTTATTTAACTCAGTGGTATTAAATCTAAGCCCCTAGAAGGCAGGAACACAGCCTACTTATATTTCATGTCTCTCAACACAGGCATAAGAATAATATATATATATATGATAATATATATAATATATAATAATTATATATATATAATAAATGATAATATATATGAAAGTGTTTTGGAACATGTGGTGTACCATGTAAACAGGACAGCCTTTTGTTGAACTGAGGCTACTTGGCCCAGACCAGGCTCAATTAATTGAAATAGAAGGCTATATGATCTTTTCCCACATCCTTGGTCATTTTGATGGGTTTCCCTATCTCCATTGAACTAGAGATGAACCAGCCAGGATAAGCAGCTGATTGAAAGTTAGAAATGTTGACATCTAGTCTTTGGAAAAATACGAAAGGCTTCTCTGCTTCTTGGTTATGATATAATTCCATTATGTCCCTCTCCTGAAAAGCAAGAAGAAAAAACCCATCAGATGGGATTATCGAATTTCATAATATGAGAACTGGAAGGGATCTCAACAGCCACCTGGTCCAACCCATACACAAAAAAATCCCTGCTATAACCTCCAAGGACTGGGAGCCCATTTCCTCCTGAGGCTGTCCATCTCACTCTGAGATAACTTTAATTGTTCGGATAGGTTTGCTGATATTAAGCCCAAATTTGCCTTTTTACAATTTCCACTGCTTGAGTTCTGCCCACCAAGGCCAAATGGAATGTCAAGTCCCTCTTCCATGAGATAGCCCTTCAACTACAAGAAGATAGATATTGTGTCACCCTCCAACATCCCCAAGTCTCTTCTCCAGGCTGAGCATGCCAGGGTCCATCAACAAATCCTCAAATGACAAGGAATCAAGACCCTCCACCATCTTGGTTGCCTTCCTCTGAATATGCTCCATTTTATTAATGTCCTTTTTAAGCTGTGGTGCCCAAAATTGAATACAATACTCCAGATGAAGTGGGACAAGAGCAGAGTACAAATGGACTGTCTATCAGCTCTTCCTGGAAACCATCCCTTTTAATGAAGCCAAAAATTGCATTTTTTTTTGGCTGCTTCTTCCCCTGAGGATTTTAAGCAAATTAACCCTCCCACTAGCAGCTAAATTCTGTGGAAGCTGAATCAAGAAAGCCTGAATTCAAATCCTGCCTCAGATACTTATTAGTTATGTAAGTCTAAGAAGTCACTTAACCTCTGGTTGCCTCAATTTCCACATCTTTAATGTGGGGGCGATAAGAGCACCTACCTCACAGAGTTGTTGTCAGGATCAGATGAAATACCATCCATAAAGTGCTTTGCAAACATTAAAGTGCTATGTCAATGATAGTTATTATTATCCATCACCATTGCCTCTCAAAGAGAATGTCAGTTGACTGCCCTATTGTTGAACTCATACCTGGGACTTCCCAGACCATAACTCATTTTGCTGGCCACCACTCCCTTATGTGTGGCATCTTCCCCATTAGAAGGTAAGCTCCTTAAGGGCAGGGACTTTTCTCAGTGCTTAGAACAGTATTAGCTCATAGCAAATACTCAATGTTTTTAATTCATTCAGTTCTGAGCACCACATTTCAGTAAGAACTTTAAAAGTGCAGAGTATCCAGGGAAGGAGAGCAGGATGATGAAAGATATAGAGATCATGCCACATAAGAATGAGATTAAGGAACTACTGGTGTTTAGCTTGAAGGAGAACAGCTCTGTGGAGGACATGATATCTTTTTTCAAGAGTCAGATGGTCTTTCATATAGAAGAAGGATTTAAATATTCTCTGCTTGGTCCCACAGAAGCAGAACTAGGAAGAAAGTGTGAATATTGCAGCAAAGATTCAGGATTAATATAAGGCAAAACAACCCAATGATTAAAGATTAATTCTTAATAATTAAAGATTAAAGAACTTGCTACTTTGAAAATCAATGACAAGAAGGAAGGAAGAAGAAAAAGAAAAAAGAAAGAAGGAAAGAAGTAAAAATAATGGAAGAAATGGAAAAGGAAGAAAGGTAAAAATGCATTTATTAAGAGATTAGCACATGACAGACACTGTGCAAAGTATTGGGGTTACAAATATCAGCAAGTAAGGCAGTCCCTGCCCTCAAGGAGCTTACATTTAAATTGTGGAAGACAACATGTGTAACAAAGCTAGAAAGCATATGGAGAGTAGGTGTGGTTTGGAAATGGCCAAGACATGGCATGACAGCCTGATTTTGAGCAAGATGAGGCAAAAGCACATTTATCACAACCCAAGAGCTTTCACTGGAACCTAAATGACCCCTACTTGGTCATACTTTCTAGAAGATTCTGATTCAGCTATTGTTGGTGACCTTGGAAATTCCTTCCCATTCTAAAATTCTGTGAGATGCTATGACACTCACCTTGAGCTTCAGTATGGGCTGCCCTCCACTCTCTTCACAGCACAGACACAGTTTAGGGTCTGCTATGCCCAGGTAAATAGGATTGCCTTGTCTTTTTCAAGAGACTGATCTTGGCATGGTGTGCTCACCAGTATGGCTGGGAATACAAGAATCAGTGACCACACAGGGTGAAAAAAATGTGAGAATCAAGAATCCATTTCTGAGAAAGAGGAGGGTGATGGGAGAGGGCACCATCCATTTAAAGAGAAGAGCAAGGGAATGCCACAGTTGGACTTGAGCTTTAGGGATTTTGAGTTGGAAGTGCTTAGGGAAGCGAAGGGAAGGGAAGGAAAGTGCCTAGGTCTATAGGAATCTTCCATTCATTCCTAGTTGGAGAGATCATCTGCTCAATGGCCTAGTCATATTGATTCCATTTGTCCTTTGGACTTTGGAATCCTTGATAGGAATTCTAGCTCCTGAATTTGAGCACAGTCCTCCCAGGAAGCATCCCAGGGGGAGGGACTTCTGACCTCACAAAAGAGCAATCTCCCAGACTGTTGCTTCAGCCATGCCTGCAATTTGCCTTCTCTGATTTCCCTTCAGGTAACACCTTAACCAGGCAGGCTTGGCAGTCTCCTGAAAGATAGTCCTGTTATGTTGTGTATAGTAGATATGAGGGAGAGAAGCAGAGAAAGAGAGAAACAAAGAAGGCAAATGAGAGAGAAAGGATTGGTTTTTGGCAAACAGGAGATGCCCAGGAGGAGCTAACACTCCAACATGTGTGTTCATTGATTCCCAGAACCTGCACTCCCAAAGGCTACAAAGAACAGACCTCTGGAGTGAGACTGTTCCTTCCTTGGTGGAGCTGTGATTTCACCTCCCTTCCAAATCCCAGACACACCTGACTCATATGTATTCTTCTGCCCAAACTAATTGGTATAACTTCCCTAATTACTGCTTTACTGTTTGCTCTGATAGTTTTATTTGTTCATTATATATGTTTGTCTTTGATGTAATCAGCATTTTGTGGAATGGGATATAAGCTGACTGAGATTACATTGACCGTTACTCTCTTGTTCTAGGGGAGGACTACTTATTCCCAGAGTGACTAGCAAAAGTGGCTTTTACCCTAAATGCCAAGAAAGCATTGTACTTGTAGAGGGCAAATATCTAATGTGCAATAGCTATATATAATTGTGGTCCTGTACGCCTGGGGAAGATTGGAGAGCTAGGGAGTAATCATACAATCACAGTTAACCCCCTACTTTCCACAAAGGCAAAAGTGACATTATTCCTGGGAGGTGTGGAGTGGGGCACTCCATATCCCAGATCCATTCACTGACATAAACTCTGGGACTTTGAGTCCTGTTCAACTTGCTACAATAAAGTTATAGACTTGGACAAAGAAAAGACCTTATGGGTCATCAAATTCAACCCCCTTATTTTACAGATGAGGAAAATGTGGCTCAGACAGCCTCACTTGTGTCTAATGACTGCCTAAGGTGACAAAACTACTAAGTGTCTTAGGGAGGAGTCCACATGAATCTCCCTAATGCCAAGTTCATTGCTCTATCCACTGTGCCACCCTGGTTTGCCAATAAAGAAATGTCACATGAAGGAAGCTCCCTACCTCTGTCAGCAACCCAGGTCAAATGCATTTGTTCCATCCCTGTGCTCCATTCTGTTCCTCTCCTCCCATTACCCTTCCTCCCAGCCCCATTCTTCTTATAATTCCCTGGCATTAGAATCCTCCCAGGTTAGATTACAAAAGATAAATCTACCTGAATTTCTCTTCCCTCCTCCATCCTCCCTAAGCATTGTTCTACTGTCCTTTTCTCCCTGTCTTCATGGAACGGCACAGTTTATCTCTAACAAAGGCCAGTCTGACCCTTAACTTTACCATCTTTCAGTGCCTGGTATAGGACTTAATCCTTTTCCCACCATTTATATCTAATAACTGCCCAAGTCATCCCTGGAATTTTTGAGCTACAGGCATCTGTCCTAGGGGACACTGTAAAGAGAGGGTCCAAAGCATGAGACTGCCTTAAAGAAAGAGAAAATAGGGTCAGGTTTACTACTCACTTGGGTGCACCACTCCATCATCAGGAATTGCTATGAGGGTCTTCCCTTGAAGGATCAAGACATGCTGATAGATGTCACAAATTCCCAGGAAGTAAGGCTCCTCTAATACTTGCAAATGAAACTTGTTAAAATGCAAGTGTCATTGGTTGATGAGGATTAAAGCTGATTTAATGGGTTGGTTTCCAGTAGACTGCTGATTCTCATCAAGCACATGGAGAAGAGTGGACTGATGTTGATGGAATATAGCCCCCAACAGACTCCACACACCACCACTTTCTCTCTATACATAAATCCCTACTGTGATGACCAAAGAGCTGTGATCCTGAAGGAGGAAACTGCAGAATTTCAGAAGTGGAAGGGAATTCCGAGTCCATCTAACCAACTCACACCCAACACTGAGTACATCCAGCAAACATCCATTCTTTTTTTTTTCAAGAGAACCTTTAATGCAGAGGACCCCACCACATCAGGAGACAGCCCAGTTCTGCTTTGGGACAGCTCTAATTTTTGGAAGGTTTTTTCTGACACTGAGTCTAAATTTACCTCTTTGTAAACTATGCCTTTTACTCTTCTTGTTGTCTTCATGGGTCTAATCTTTCTCCCCAGGGATGGCTTTATATACTTAAAGACAGTGATCATCTCCCCACTGAGTCTTCTTTTCTCCAAGCTGAACCTCCCCAGTCTCTGTAAACCGTCCTCATGTGGCATGGACTTGAGGCCTGTCCCTCATCAAGCTACCCCCATCTGGCTGCCTCCAGCTTCTCAACATCCTCCCTCATGCCTTAAAAGGAACACAACCTTCCAGGTGGGAGAACAGAGTCATAATTGCCTCCTTATTCCTGGAAGCTGTGATTGATTCTCTCAAAGCATCCTTATATCCCATCAGGAGTATGTATGTGTGTGGGTGTGAGTATGGGTGTGAATGGGTGTTTGCCTGTCATAATCTCAGTGCTGTCGATATCAAGACACTGAATTGGGCCTCCCTTCTCTGAGTACTCTCCAATTTATTGATGTCCTTACTGAATGAAAACCCCAGGTCTTTTTTAGGCAAACTTGATTTATCCATATCATCTAGTGCTGGTTATGACCATTTTTTAAACCTAAATGTAGGACTTGACATTTATCCCTGTTATATTGATTATTATTAGCATGAAACCAATGTTCTATCCTGCCAGTATCTATTTGAAACCTGATTTTATACTTCTGTGTATTGACTACCTCCCCTGGCTCTGTTATCACCTGCAAGCTTGAGAAGCATCCCATCTGTCATTGATAAAATTGTTTAACAGCCCAGGGTCAAGAACAGATCCGTGGAGTACTCCACTAGAGAACTCCTTCCAAGTCCACTTCAAAAAAATTTGGATTTGTTGTTGCTCAAGTCATGTCTGACGACCCCATTTGGGGTTTTCTTGGCAAAGATACTGGAGTGGTTTGCCATTTCCTTCTCCAGCTAATTTTACAAATGGGGAAACTGAAGCAAATAAGGTTAAGTAACTTGCTTAGGGTCATACATCTAGTAAATGTCTGACATTGAATTTGAACTCAGGTCTTCCTGACTCCAGGACTGAGCTATCCACCTAACCATTAATAAATCCTCTTTTCAGTCCAGCCATCCAAACAATTCTCAATCCATCTGGATTCTAATTGTCCTGTAATAAAGGCAGAATCTATCTCTCCCCACAAGAATAGCATGAGAGCTTTTATTGGCTTTACCAAATTCAGCTGAATTCTAACTGTGGCATCTCCCCGATCTTCCAGTCCAGTTACTCCACTAAACAAGGAAACAAATTTAGAATCACATGACTCGTTTTCGTTAAAGCCGTGCTAACAATCTGTGATCACCTCTTCTTTCTCTAGTTGTTCATCCAGCATCGCTTGAATGGTTCTCTCTACAATTTTGTAGAAATCCAAGACACTGGCCTATAGTTGGCAGAAAAGATCCTATTCTCCACCCTTTTGAAGGAAATCAGGATGCTTGCCTTTCCCTGGGCCCTCTGCATCATGGCCATTCTCCAGGATCTTTCAGATTTCACTGCCAGTGCCTTCCCCACATCTGCCAAGAGGTAGCTTACTTGGACCAAGTAACTTAAATTCAAGAGTAGCTCTCTTAATATCTTTTTGCTTACCTTGGCTACCCACTCCTAATTAACCATTAATGTAGAAATGTACAATTGAACCTAGAATGTCTCCATTCCTGGAGGGCTTGGTGTCAGCAGGGAACTGCATGAGCCTAGGACAGGCTTTCCCCTACCCCACCCTGGGATCCCAGACAAGCATGCTTGGGGGAGGGAAGGTGGCATAGCCATATCTCACCTTTTGGTTCTAGTGGTTTTCCTTCACCTGAAAAATAGTGAAAGCAGAAACACAAAATTCTAGGCACTGTGTTATTTCCAGGTTAAACAGGACATGATATCCTTCAATCAATCAATCAATAAGCAGTTCTGCTATACGATAGATCCCATGCCTGCCCGTAAATTCTAACAGAGGAGACAACATGCACACATATAGACAGTTCTCTTTATGTGAGTGGATTGGTTGGCAGTCATGTGAATTTGCCTCGGACTTGGGGAAAGGGAGGGATGGAGGCAGAAAAGTGGCTGCAAATGGGGCTCCCTCCCATGGAAGGAATTGGCCAGCACCCAGTTCAAGGACTGGGACAGAGAAGCAAGAACAAGAGCCAGAACATTCAGGGAGCAGGGCCAGAACCTAGAGGAAGAACAGGGAGTGAGAGACATGTGAGGGTCAGATGGACACAGACAGGAGAGGACAGACATGCTCTTCTGGAGGGAAGTCAAACAGGAGGCAGATGGGCAAGACAGGCCAAGGTCTTCTCTCTCAGCACAGGAGGTCTCAAGCCAAGCCCTCCATCCCAACACAGCACTGGAGGAGGGAGTGGGGGGGGGGGGTCTCTCCTACCTCCGACCTTCTGCTTTCTCTAGGAGGGTTTTATTTTTAGGGGGCTTTTTGTTTTTGGTGGGGGAGGGAGGGAGAGAGGCCACAGAGCACCCACAGCAACAGGCAGAAGGGGGGAGAGGGAGCAGAGTCCTGCACGGTAAAGGTAATAAAGGGACTTTTTATGAAATGTGGATTTCTTTCAGAATTCTTTAAGAAAAGTCAAATTTGAGTAAATTTATGTAAAGTGATAACTCTCTGTATAGGAAGATACAGAATATATACAAACTTAGTTTAAGGTAGTTTGGGGAGGGAGAGATACCAGCAGCCTGGGGCAATGAGAAAGCCTCTGCCACAGGCACAGGTGAAAATAAAATGTAATGGGACACACAAGTGTCTTCCATACAATGGGTAGAATTTAGGGGGCTCTCATGTGTTCCTTTATGCGTGACTTCTGGATTCTCTAAAACTGGTCTGGGCAAACTTCTCACCCCACAGTGACCTTTAGCCTTCTCCTCTCCAGGGTGGACACAGATCATGGATACAAAGCTAGAAAAGATCATAGTAACCATCAAGTCCCACCCACCTGGCAAAATCCAGCCTCAGACACTTATCAGCTCTGTGACCCTGGGCAAGTCACTTAACCTTAATTTGTCTTAGTTTCCTCAATTATAAAATAGGGTTAATAATAACATCTACCTCCCAGAGTTGTTGTGAGGATCAAATAAGAAAATATTTGTAAAGCACTTAGCACAGTGCCTGACACATAGTAGGTGCTATATAAATGCAAGTTGTTATATATCATTATTATATGAGGAAACTAAGGTCCAGGGATATTAAATGATTTCTCCAAGAGCACATGGGCAATAAGCACCACAGGGAGAATCTAAACCCAGGCTCACTAACTTCAGAACCCGTGAGGGCTCTTGGCATTGCCCCATAGCTAACTAGACTGAGAGCCAATGTTGTCCGCCATATTGTTGCTTACCTTGGGTATGTGAATTGGGGTCAGTTCTACTCATGATAAGATTCTCTCTGCTCCTGTAAGGATAGATTAAAGGTAATTGATTTGGAGGACTTTCTTCAGGGCTAGACCCAGGTATAGCCCCATACTGAACTTTACCTCAGCACCTCTATCCAGAGAGGTGTGGGTAAGGAAGAAAGGAAACAAGCATTTATTAGGAACCTTAATAAATAGAGCTAATAAATGCTTATTCCTCACCTACTATGGGCCAGGCAAATGTCTCAAGTCTTTTATAAATATTATCTCATTTTATCCTTTTAATAACCTTTGAAAGAAAGTGCTCTTATCCCCACTTTTCAGCTGAGAAAACTGAGGCAGATAGAGATTTTTTTTTTAAAGTGACTTACTTAAGACCAAATAGCTAATAGTGTTTGAAGTCAGATTTGAACTTGGGTCTTCTTGACTCCAGGCACAGCACTCCAGAGTGTCATTTAGCTCTTCTAGGATGAGGAAGCCCCCTGGGCCATGGTTTGGTAGGTCATGGCTACTGGGCTAAAGAGATTCACAGATGGCTCGTCTTCCCTGGCACTCCAGGGCACTCCACTCAGCTTTCTTTTTTTTCCACTCAGCTTTCTCAGCAGGGATCTCTCCATGACCACAGGTATCACCTCCAATGTCCCTCAGAGCAACAGGTGGGACAGCAGACCAGCCCTCAAGAATATGCTCCCATTCAAAGATCCCACCAATGTTGCAGTTTTTCCACCATAGGCAAACATGTCACTAAGAATTTCCATACTGAACCTTTTCTCATCAACCGTCAGTACCCACTTACAGTGAGCAGGGAAAGGATCTGCTACAACCCCCCCGCCATGGGACATAATGGGCCCTATAAACAAAAACCAAAGCATCCTGACAATAGAGATATTTGGGCTCAGACCTACACCCACTCTTGGAACCCAAGGGACAGCAGTGAGAGAAAGATCCAGAGACAAATGATTTTCAGCTGCAGGAAGAATCAAAGGATACCTGGTCCAACCACTCTGTCCAATTTTCCTGAGCTCCTGGGCTGTGATGGTTTCTTTAAGCTCCGATGAGGTCTTCTGGGGCTGCTTGGCCTTTTATCCAATTGAAGAACTGGGTGGTTCTGTAGCTTGGGTAGGAACAGCTCTTCCCTTGAAACTTAAGAAGTCTCTGAGGCTGTTCCCAAGGATGCCAGGGAATGTTGAAGAGGTGTCTGGGTGGGGAGGGTGAGGACAGCAGCAGTGGGAGGAACTAGGCTGGGCCCTGAAGGTTCCACCTTAGGTTTACTTTGAAAAATTACTAGAGATTTTACCTGTGTTTTTGTCAAGGAGCTCTTTTCCTTACAGGAATGTAGGGGGAAAAATTACAGCAATTTCATTGATAAAGGCCTCATTTCTCAAATACACAGAGAACTGGGTCAAATTTATAAGAACATGAGTAATTTCCCAATTGATAAATGGTCAAAGGATATAAACAGGCAGTTTTCAGATGAAGAACTCAAAGCTATCTAGAGTTATGTGAAACAATGCTCTAAATCACTATTGATTAGAAAAAATGCGAATTAAAACAACCCTGAGGTATCATCTCACACCTATCAGGTTGGCTAAAATGACAGAAAAGGAAAATGATAAACATTGGAGGGAGAAAATCAGGTCATTAATGCACTATTGGTGGTGTTGTGAACTGATCCAATCATTTTGGAGAACAATTTTGAATTATGCCCATATGTATACCCTTTGATCCAGCAATACCACTGCTAGAACTGTATCCCAAAGAGAAGAAAAGGAAAAAAAGGAAAGAAGAGGAAAAGAAAAGAGTCCTATATGAACAAAAATATTTATAGCAGCTCTTTATGTAGTAGCAAGGAATTGGAAATTGAGGGGATGTCCATCAATTGAGGAATAGCTGGATGAGTTATGGTGTATGATTGTGATGAAATACTATTGTGGTATAAGAAATGGCAAGTAGAGTGATTTCAGAAAAACCTGGAAAAACTTACATGAACTGATGCAGAGTAAATTGAGCGGAGTTTTTGTACACCATAACTGTACACAGTTGTAGCAATATTGTACAATGATCAACTGTGAATGACTTAGCTATTCTTAACAATACATTGATTGATCTAAGACAGTTCTTGATGAAAAATGCTGTCCACCTCCAGAGAAAGAACTGATGGAGTCTGAATGCAGATTGAAGTCTATTTTTTAACTTTATTTTTCTTGGTTTATTTTTCAGTTCTGTGTTCTCTTTTGCACCATGGCTAATATGGAAACATATTTTGCATGACTGTAAATTTATAATCTATATCAAAGTGCTTGCCTTGTCAATGATGGGGGAGGGAAAGGATATAGGGGCCTTAGAACTCAAAAATTGTAAAACAAAATGTTAAAAATTGTTTTCTGTAATTAAAAAAAATAAACCACTTTGGAAGCAAAAAGGAATGAATTAATTATTGAATGAATGAAATGAATGAATGATGTGTGTTGTGTTATTCATATGGACACCCTGAACAAGGATAGATGATGTGAACTAACAACCACTTTGAGGGGTTTGGGGAAGGAGGGACAGAATCTTACATAAACTGGTGCCAAGAAAGGAAAGGGAGCTCTTCAGACTTGAGAAACTGCTGAATCTCTTGTGAGCTGATATCTTTGACCTGAGTGTCTCACCACCTCAAGAGATGCCCTTATACAAGATACCCCCAAAATATGCTAAATATTAAATTTATACTGAGACTTTTGAGACAGCCTCTGAATTCTTGCTGAGTGTTTCTATGACTTTGTTTAGTGTTATTACTATTTAGTGAAAGGGTGCATAGGGAGGAGGTGAGTAGGAGGGCTATTTGTTTGATTGATAAAACTTATTCAGATCCAGAACTTTCATTTGGATCTTGTCTATACCTGCTCTAAAAAAGACTGGAAATTTAAATTAGGCCAGGATAGGAAGGGCTTTAAAAGCCAAATAGAAAGCCAGGTGTTATAGTACATGCCTATAACCCCAGCTACCTGGGAGGCTCAGGAGTTCTGAACTGCAATGGCCTGGGCCAGTTGGAGTCCATGCTAATTATGGCATTAAAATTATGAGTCCCTGCATACAGGGGCTGCCTAAGGATTGGTGAACCAGCCAAGGTCAAGAAAAGTAACAAGTGGAAGTTCCTATGTCCATTAAGGTGAAATCTGGTGAATTGCTCCTTTACTTCCATTGTGGGAGAAATAGGAAGGTACAGACTTTAAGAAAATAAAGCTATGCAAAGGTGTGTGAAAGAGGTAAGGCTCCACAGCGCTTGTGTGCCTCTACATCAGGACTTGGCAAAACTATCTAATACACTTGACCTCAAGTCTGGGCCCTGGCAGAAGGGCATGCCACAATTGGGGTGGGGTCTCCTAGCTTTCTACCCTTCCATATCTCTCTGGGCCTCACTCCTTCCAAACCTCCTGAACCTTGCCAAGACCTCCACTCCCTCCATCCTTCAGTTCCCTCTCCCAGGAATCCCTCCCATGTATTTATCTCTCCCCTGCCAAAGCCCTCCCTGAGCAAAGTTGTGACTAGGAGTTTCCACATAGAACCCAGCTCATAATCTTTAAATGCCTATACCCTGTGGCAGGCAAGGGATTGACTATGCCATGAGTCCAGCTGGATCTCGTACCAAGAAACACCATCTTCCCAGCCTTCCCAGAGTCTGGCTGTGATTCATTCCCATCGGCAGGGGATGGGAGTACGAGAGAGTGCATAGATAGAATGGTTTCCAGTCATAGAGAAGAAAAAAAGATGGAAGGATTCCTGAACCTGTCATTGGTTCCTTTGATCCTGAAGGCGTAGGCTGAGCATTATCTTCAGCCTTCCTCAGCTCCCTGGCCATTTTTCCAATGGGAAGGGGAAGGAAAGAAGTATTTATTTATTAAGTATTTTACAATGCACCAGGAACTGTAACAAGCACTTTACAAATACTAACTCATTAGACCCTCATAACAATCGTAGGAGGTAGCTGTTATTATCCCCATTTTGCACTTGAGTAGATCGAGGGAGACAGAGGTTAAGTGACTTCTCCAGGGTTACGTGGATAGTAAGTATCTGAGGATGGATTTGAACCCAGGTCTTCCTGATTCCAGGTCCAATGTTTTATCCACTGAGTCACCTAGCTGTCTGAATAAGTGAGTGCTGAAAGCTCCTTACTCTGAGCTTAAGGAGAAAGACCTTTTCTGGAGGCACAAGATACTTTGAAGTCTTCTTTGGGAAAGGGGGAGCAGCCAATGGGGATGGCCTGGGCTTGGGGATGGGAATCCCCAAGATGGAAATGGAAATCAAGGAAGGACTCATCTTCCTTTCATTCACAGGAATCTTGTGGAATCCCCAGATGCTTGGGTGGTTGTGAAGGATCAGTTTCCCTAATTCCCCTGGTAAGCACAGGTGGACCAAGCTCCCAGTGATATACGTGGAGTGTGGAGGGAAAATCGGCAAGTGAGCTTGCCATGAAGGGGCAGTACCTTCTAGTCTTATGCTTTCCTGCCTCATAGTTTTGTCCATGCCATCTCCCCTCCACTATACACTGTAACCCTGAATTCCTGGGCACCCAGTTTAGGAAAGCACTGATCTAGAGATGAGAAATACAAGCAGATGCTAGCCATTCTAGAGTTAATCAGATAATGATATGTTTTGAATTTGTCTTTACAGACCTGATTTTCTTAGAGCATCCCAGAAGAAAGGACCCAGGAAAGTTCATTCTCTATCTCATCACATCACCAATAACGGCTGATTACACACCTACTCTGTGCCAGGTACTGTGGCTAACTCTGGGGATACAAAGAAAGGCACAAATAGCCCTTGTTCTGCAGGAGCTCAAGATCAAATGTATATGGTGGGTGGGCAGAGCTTCTAATCTCTGGATGCCTTTGCCCTGTCCCCACCTTCTAAACTTGGTGAGCTACAGATGCAATGATCAGAGCTTTGAGGTACCAGAGAGAGCACTGAGACCTGGGAAGGATGGGGGATGAGACAATTTAAGCTCTGCACCAGGTCATCCCTATCTCCAATCCAGGAAAGAGCCTCATCTAGGTTCTGTCTCTCCTCTCTTTTCATGAAGGGGAAAAATCCAAGTGGGAGGCAGCTGGTTTAGGACAAGCCACCAGCTTCTTATCGAATGAACTTCACAGTCTGGCTCCAATTCGTCTTTCTATAGTGATGTTGCTCCTGGGCTACCTGTGACCCATTTGCTGTAGTTAAACACATGTTGTTCCCTTCAAGAGAAGGTAAACACCTGGAGACAGAGTCTGTTTCACCTTTTGTCTCTGCACCTCCAGCACCAAGCACAGTGCCTGGAACACAGTAGGAGCCTACTAGATGCTGGTGGAAGTGAGCTGGGTGAAGCTGACACCTCTCTGACAAATACAACTATTTGTTTCCCCACCTCTGATGTTATTTTGAAAAAAAAAAAAGGAGAAATCAATTGCAATTAGCTAGGGGGCATGGGAGATGGGAATTTGGAACATAGAAGTTCCAGAAAATGGAAGGGCTGCCAGTCAGGAAGAAGGAGGATGTGTATAGCAGAAATATCCATTCACCAAAACACTAACTTTGCCCCCTCCCCCCAATCCCCAAAAAAGGTTTTTTTTTTAAACTTATATAGCACAGCAGCTAGATAACACAGTGAATTGAGCTCTGAGCTTGGACACAGGACAACCTTAAGTTAGGAAGACCTGAGTTCAACTCCAGCCTTGGATATTTAAAGATGGTGAGACCCTGGGCAAGTTATTCAACCTCCGTTTTCCTGAGTTTCCCCAGCTGTAAAATGAGGATAATAGCACCTACCTCGTAGCATTATTTTGAGGATGAAATGAGATATTTGTAAAACACCTAGTACAATGCCACATACATAGTAGGTGCTTCATAAATGCTTGCTACTTTCTTTCCAGAGAATAGTAGAAAATGCTCCCTTTCTCATCCCTCTGCCTGTGTCTCTCCATGATGTATGGTTCTCAGAGCTGTCTCCCTGGATACCCTTAAACAGTATCATTTCCTCTATCCATCAGCCTGAATCACTCTCTCCATTTCCGTCTCTGTCTCTCTCTGTCTCTGTCTCTCTCTGTCTCTGTCTCTCTGTCTCTCTGCTCTCTCTCTCGGCAACCGAGGTTAAGTGACTTTCCAAAGGTCACAC